TAACACTAACAAAACTGAAGGTGAATTTAGATGATCCACTAGGGGAAAATCAATGGAAGCCATACTACTTGGTAACTGGAGGGCAAGAGATTCCTAAGTAAAGTGCCATCCCAGAGTTTCTTGCTCCAACAATTAAAGTTTCTCTTTTACAGTTAAATTTGGAAGTTCCTAAATAGAGAGAGATTATCAGTAGCCACACTGCAAATAATTTTGGTGCAGCCAGAAACAACCACCTAATACAATGCAGACAAGAGACCTTAACATTATGGCCAGAATCATCTGAGTCCTGCTTGCGGGAAATGGAGTGGGATAGAAATTAAGTTGTTGTTGTTGTTGTTGTTGTTGTCGTCATCATCATTATTTTCTTTTTAATACCACCCCCCTTTTTAAAGAACATCCAGTCTGATGAAGAGCTCTGGAGAAGTTGGGAGCTTGCACAATATTTTGTGACATCCTTCTCAGTCATAATAAAAGAGATTATATGTAATCTGTGTTCATTTGTTCTGCACAAAGTAATTTTAACACACTGATCTTCCCTCACATGTCTAATAGATTGTTCATGATCACAGTCAGCAGAGATGAGCATGCTTAGTATTTACTTCTGTGACCGATCACAATCGATACATATGTATAATATATGTGTGTGTGTGGATGGGTGTGTGTGTATTACTCTTGATTATAAAAAATCCTATGCAGGAGTATTTTATTTACCTTAATTAAACAGGAGTCCTGTCGCATCTTAAAGAATAACAAAATTTATTCCAGCATAAATAATCATATAAGAGTTATTGAATTAGTCATCTTTAGCTTTTCTGTGTTTGCTCCTTTTCTGTGGAATAGCCCTTATGAAGCTGTGAGGAAGACTTCCTCATTGCTAAGATTCTGCAGGTTATGTAAGATGACTTTTGACGTTGCCACCTGATTGTTTTTGGTGATAGCTAGCTCTGTTATTTCATATGGATTTATAATTCTAGTTATTATCATTATAACCTGTCTTTATCCAGTTCTGGGGAAAGGGAGTTAAATATGCGCTAAATAAATATCTAAATAGAACCTGTGTGTGGCATTACATTTTGTGCTGTAATCAATACTGACAATAACATGGGTGAAAACAGACTATTAGTTGTTGTAGATTTTCCGGGCTGTATGGCCGTGGTCTTGGCATTGACACAGAGTACTCCATCTTTCTGTGTTATACCTCTGAGGATGCCAGTCACAGTTGCTGGCGAAATGTCAGGTACTACAGTGCCAAGACCACAGCCATCTACAACTATGTTGGGATGTGTTATATCAGCCAATCCTAATACTAATAATTTTTTTACTATAAGTGGTTAGTTTCTATGTAACAAATGTGATTACACGAGTCATGTACTGAGCTAAGGTACCCTTACTCTTTCAGAATAAAATTTATGGAGGCTTGAGAGCAGAAAGTGCCTTGATTTGTCTACCTGTGATGTTGTATATCTCTGTCTGTGTTCTAGTATATGATACGGAAGCTTGCTGGCTGACCTTGGGCCAGTCACACACCCTCAGCCTAAGGTGGCTTGCAGGGTGGTTGTGGGGCTAAAATGGAGGAGAGGAGAATAAGCTATTTTAGGTCTCCTGTGGGGAGAATGGCAGCATGTAAATAAATAAAGGATGTCTTGGTTCTATAACCAAATAAATTGAACCTGAAAGAATAAAGAGACTTGGGATAAAATATATCATTAAACACCTTGGGATTTTTTTTTCTTTGTGTGATAACCTCATTTTTAATTTTTCTGGCCGTTGAAGAATTCTAGAACATCTTTAATGGATGACTGCCCTGCTGAGCTCCTTATTTTCATATGACAGTGTGGTATTAAGGGTTTTTGTTTTTTTTAACTGGTGGGCTGTCTTACTGTGGATATGTTGTCATCCATCCTCATTGGTTCCTGCCCCATCAGCACTTACTTGTTTGAATCCATTTTGATAATGGCATTCCTTTTCATGTATACGTGACAGTTAGGGTCATGTGTACTTCAGGGGTGTGGTGTACTTTCTTAAATGGATAAGCTTGCAAAATCAAAACTTAATATAGGTTGAAAAACTTGGTTTTGTGATATAGATCCAGCTTTCAAGCATCTCTTGCCTTCAGGTGCAGAGATTCATTTTATTCATGTAGTTAAGCTTGTTTTTCATGCCCAGTTTTTTTTTAATTTAATTTTTATACTTTTTTACAATGCACAAAACACGGTAAGCATAACCAGGAAAAATAGGGAGGTATAGATTACAACAAGTTTTGAAATGTGCATCAGTTTAGGACTGCAGCAAACCATGAGAATGGCATTTGTCAGATTCTTTTTTTAAAAGAAGACAGTAATGTAAGCAGCTGGAGTATTAAAATTTATGCATTTATTTTGTTTTAATGGTGCCTGCCGGAAGAAATTTCCTGATTGGGTCAGTTTTACAAACTAACCTTTAAAGTTATTTACTATCATTTAGGTTGCCAAAAGTTTACAGAGACTGGAAAAATGATATTGTGTGGATATAAATAATTAAAGCAAGTGGGGGGGGAGTGAGCGGTGAAAGGAAGAGCCCCCATGGGCTAGCAGATTTTTTTGGTATGATTTATATTCACAGTGGTTCTTCATTTGCAGGGTTTACACTAGTTATAGTTTTATTAAGAAGTATAATGAAGTATTACTCTGCTCCATCCCAGTCGTGTAGTGGCTACAACCCAATTGCACAGTGGGAAACCTGCACGGACTTGTGGCAGATACCTCGCTTAACTCTGAACAGTAGCAAGCATCTGGGCCTGGATGAATCACTCAGGTTGAGTGGCAGAAAGTTGCCACTCCACATGCTATTTCCTCTTTCCCGACCTCCTAGCAGCCCTCATATTCTCACCTTTCCTTGCTCTTCTTCCCACCCACGAACTAAAACTACTTTTCATCTGCTGTGCATCTTCAGCTACATTATTTATTTATGTTATTTACTTTCTCCTCAGTGGGGACCCAGAGCAGCTTACATTATTCTCCTGTACTCCGTTTTATCTTCACAACAGCCCTGTCAGGTCAGTTAGGCTGAGTATCTGTCACTGGCTCATGGTCACCTAGTGAGATTCCATGTTATAGTAGATTTCCTATTCAAACCTGGGTCTCCAGATCCTAATCTGACATTCTAACCACTACATCACACTAGCATCTGTGTGGTGGCTGCTGCTGAACAGTAGCAAGCATCTGGGCCTGGATGAATCACTCAGTTTGAGTGGCAGAAAGTTGCTTGGTGGTTGTTGCCAGCCCTTACCATGATGAGTTGTCTCAACAAAGGCCAAAACAGCCCTGGAACTCTTTCAGCTTGACTCAACTTGCTTTACTCTGCCTTTACTGGCAGAAAGCAAGGCTTGAAGGCTGGCAATATTGTGTGGGTTACCTAGCAACCCCAACAACAGCCAGTGAGAGGACATTCATTTCTTAAAACTGTAGGCACTGCTTCTGTTAGTTGGGGGGGAGGGTTAAACCTGCATTGTTGGTTTAATTTCCTGTTTGTTTTAGATTTCAGTTTTTTTCTGCAAGCCTGGTGCTTTTGTCAGGTTTGTAGAAAAGTCTGTCTTGTATGTTCATTGCCTTAACCATTCTGTTCATGTATGTTTCATTCTGCTGGTTCATGACCATAATAAATGATTGTTTGATATGTTCATGTTCCAGTATCCAGATTTGTTGTTGTTCTTGTTTAGTCGCACAGTCGAGTCCGACTCTTCGTGACCCCATGGACCAGCTCCCGCCAGGCCCTCCTGTTTTCTGTTGTGCTCCAGAGTTTGCTTAATTTCACGTTTGTTGCCTCGATAACACTGTCTAACCATCTCATCCTTTGCCATCCCCTTCTTCTTTGACCTTCAATCTTTCCCAGCATCAGGGTCTTCTCCAGGGAGTGCTCCCTTCTCATTTGGGGGCCAAAGTATTTGAGCTTCAGCTTCAGTACCTGGCCTTCCAGGGAACAGTCAGGGTTGATTTCTTTTAGGATTGACTGATTTGATCTTCTTGCAGTCCAGGGGACTCTCAAGAGTCTTCTCCAGCAGTATCCAGATTTAAGTATCCACTAATGGGGCTATATTAAGAATTATATAGATTATAGATTCAATCTAACGTGTTTACTTTGACATATTTAGAAATAAAACATAAGAAGTACCCCATGTCAATGTTTGTTGCAAATACTTGAACTGAAATATTTGATTAGGAAAAAAATCAAGCATGGTTTGAATGTTCATCATCTTTACTCTCGCAAGCATCACTTTCCTAACTTGTTAGTTCCATATCAGATCGGTGATCACAGTATCCTGTCACCCTGAGAAAGGAAATATATAAATACGGATATTCATTTTGGTTTTGATTTGACCTGCAGTCTATTAGGAACATTCACAATTTGATTTTTAACTTGATTATATGTGTGGTTTTATCTCCTACCTCCTATTTGAAAATGAACCATACGTGTACTCTCACTCAATTCCTAGGGATAATCCTTTAATACTAAAACTGCCAAACTTATCAGTAGTATTTGTCAGTGTCATCTATTCGTTGTTGTTAAGGTTATGAAACAATGGATCTTCAGAAACTAAAATATTTCTTTGGAGAAAATGAAACACGGGGAAGGGGGGGGGACTGGATGATTTTCTGCCTCACATCTCTAAATGTACCTTGTTCTGAACCTCCATGCTTATGTAAATAAGAGCAACTGCATTTAGTTTTTTTAAAGAATCTGTTGCCATAAAAATGCTTATGGTATTTCTGCCTTATTGGTAGGCCCAAATGGTTTGTAAATGAGCTCTAATTAATCCAGCTGTTCCTAATGCTTAAATATTTCCAGTTAAAAATACTCCCCCAAAAAACTTTTCCTTAGGTCGCTGAAATTTGAAGAAGGAAAAATATTGAAAATGACTTATTCATGTCTCTCCCAAAATAGGAAAAAAACTTGAGAAAATTATAATTTTATCTATTTGTATTTATCTATTTGCATTTATAATTTTGTTTATCTGTTTGTAGGGTGCTGGTCAAGATAAACTTGGAATCTATGTGAAGTCTGTAGTAAAAGGTGGTGCTGCAGATGTGGTGAGTAATATCTGTATCTACTAAAACAGTTAACATTTAAAGTGATTTTTGAATATTTCTGAACTGTTATCTAGCTTGATTGATCCTGTATGCAGTAAGGTAACTTTTGTTTACTAAACATTTAACCAGGATGGGCGGCTGGCTGCTGGGGATCAGTTGCTTAGTGTGGATGGACGCAGTTTGGTTGGACTATCCCAAGAAAGGTAAGTTATGATTTTATGTGTTCGTTTGTAAAGAGTGTTGAATAGGACAGGGCGTTGAGGCTCCCTTCCTTTGTCCTCTTATACCACCTTACTCATACACTATTCTTGTCCTTCCACTTTCATGTAGATCATTGAACACACCATGAAGGTGAAATAAGATTAGCATTTTGACAGCATGGTGCTGTGTTTTACAGTTACTCTGGAACTGTCATGTGGAAACGTGGAGACAGCATACTCTTAACATATTCACAGCATATCTATTAGAACTCACTTAGAAATTTGAGCTCTTTTCCAAAAGTTGTGGATATGAAAGTGCATAAATGAGCGCATCTTTTCCTGTAGCAGTTCCATGCATATCCATCCCCCAGTATCTTGAAGAGACCAGGAATAGTGACACCCAGCAGGGCATCAGCCTCAATTGATTATAGATTATAATAAGAGCATAAAGGGGTTATTGTAGAATTGTCAGTTGAATTAATTCGTTTAGACAGAGACTGCCTGATGCTCTAAGTGATTGGTCAAATAAGCTGAAATTGTATAAATGGTAAACCTCAATAGAAAATGCCATATTAAAATCCTGAAGGAAGAGAACAGTTACTCTTGTGTGTTAATGTACAATTTCATAAGAAAAATCTACACATAAGAAGGAATAGGCACCTTTAACAAGCATGTCCGGGTACCTGTGTGGTGAAGTGTCCTAATTTGCTGTACTTTTGCTTGTAGTCATTCCTGTTGATGAATTGGGATTTGCGAATCTTAATTTATAATTAAAACCAATTAATCATTAAAAGTTGCAGCCTTTAGATTTTAAAAGACAAAAATAAGAAAGCCATTTGAGCTGTTTCTACTATTGTTAAGTAACCTGGAGACTTGGTGGTTGCATTTTTGTCTTGTTTTGTTGTTTTAAATTTGGGTGCCGCTAAAACTGACATGTTGCTTAAGGGAAAGCAGCAGCTGGGTCAGTTCTCTTTCTTGGGGTCCCCAACATTTTTGAGCTTGTGAGAACCTTTGGAATACTGACATGGGGTGGTTGGTGCAACCACAGAATGGCAGCTTCAGGTGGTGGAACCAGCCACAAAACATTACTGAATGAGGCCATGCATAAAACTGATACCGCCTTTCATGTAGAAACTCTCTTTGACAGGGTGTTACTTATGGCTATACTTGTACGCTACGGGTTCCCTGTTGTCTTTGGCTTTTTAACAGGGTGGCATTTAAAATGAGTGTATTGTTTAAAAACATTTTTTTTTTGCCTGAAAGATGTATGTATATTACCATTGCAGCTTGCCTTCAGTCATGCATTTAAAAATTTTTAACCACCGATCAGATTTCCAGTGGTCAATCAAAAGCCCTGTTGGGCAAAAGCCACACCTGGCCCTGCTCACTTTCTAAGAACACTTGGTGGGCACCAGGAAAGGTATCAGCAGACACTGGAGACCTCTTTTCTTGAGTGTGCAAAGTTAAAAGAAAATAAGTTTTGTCCATGGTTCTAAAAGCATCCTTATTCCAAATATTTCCCCTGTAGTTCTGGCTTTTGTCAGGAAAATTACAACAGTATTTCTGTAGGCTGACAATAGTAAGCCTGTTATGCTACAGTATTTCTGCTACTTTATTTTCTTCATTTTCAACAGTGGCATATAAAAGAATAATAAAAAAGACAGATTGAAAAATAGAATGTTATCTTTTTATTTCATGTTTACTATCTTAATTCTGTCAATTCCAGTTCTAAAACTATATATGTTTTTGTGTACTTGCAGAGCTTTCATTTTGGTTAAATGGTTCTCTCTGTGATCTTTACTCCTTCCTCTTGTTAAACTTATAATCAGTACAAACGAATTTACTTTATTTCTCTTAATTCTTTCCTCAGGGCGGCAGAGCTCATGACAAGAACTGGTTCAGTGGTAACACTAGAAGTGGCAAAACAAGGAGCAATTTATCATGGTCTAGCAACTTTGCTTAACCAGCCATCACCAATGATGCAAAGAGGTAAACAAATACAAAACATTAATGTCCACATACAGTATGATAAGAACAGCGCCATACCTCCATTCTTTCCCCGGAGAAAACATTTTCATAAAAATATGGAACAGCCTGGGTCATTCATAACTTTTTCCCTATGGAGGGGTATACAAGCGTCTGGCACTGTTACTGGGTGGGGAAGAGATGTGTTGTCAAAGAAGCAAATGGGTGCTAGGAAACTCATTGGTGAATGCCATAGCTGGGGATCACTACTATAATTACTAGCACATTTTTTCCTTTCCCCATGAATTTTTAAGCCACCTGTGTGTTCCATTGTTTGCTAGAGAGACATTTGATAAACTGCTGGTTTTTATATTTTCAGTTGGAGGCTACAATTTTTCCTTCTTCCCAGAAGGCTAATGAGCAATGTGATACCAGTTATACGCAGCACCACCTAATTTGTTCAAGTCTGTAGGGCGTTTTGTACAGGATGTAGATTAGAATCCTTAATATCAGGATCTGAAACATTTTTTTCTCTGGAGAACTCAAAGCTAGCTCACTGATTTGTGTTATTTCGGTTGGTCCTTATAAAAGGCATTATGTGGCCTTTGTTACTGGACTCTTCTTTGGACCAATGTGATTACCTGTAATTTGTTTTCTGGTATTAACTTGGATTAAATTGCATACCCTCACCTTTTTAGGTATGAACTTGTTGCTACTTTGCAGTGTCACTTTGAAGTACTTAGTGTGTTTTTCCCCTACATAGCTGAAATTCTGAAAAATAAATATATGCAAGTGTCCCATATTTAATAAATATTTTGTATCCTCAAAAGCCCCTTTGAAGCAGCTGGGTCTCGGTGACGTGAAAATCATGGCAGTAACTACAGAGTGAGATCCCTGTATGGGTTAGCAGAGGATGCGGTAGATTTTCTGTGTCTTCAACTGTAAATTTCAAGCCCGAAACCCATAGCTTCTCTATCATTTCAGCTTTACCTTTAGAAAAAGTTTCTTCTCACATATGAAGCTGTCTTACATCAAGTCAGTTCATTGGTCTTTCTAGTCCAGTATTCTCCATTCTTCCTGGCAGCAGTCTTCCATGCCCTTGGCAGTAGCATTTCCCAGCCCTACTATCTAAAATCTTTTTAATTAGAGATTCCAGAATTGAATTTTGGACATTATATGCATACAGAGTATTTGGTCTACCCCTGATTGTGGCCCCTCCCCTTGAGGTATCTTTCTTCACCCCACTATGTGTAATTCTCCTCTCCTCCCCCCCCCCCCCACCCCAGTAATATACATTTAACTTATATTAGGCCATTAAATACAAGATGTATGATACTTTTGTGTCAATCTGTAAACACTAGACAGAGATATATGATTTTTCTGGCAGGTTTGAATCCCAGCTTCTGTTATATTAGAAATGAAATACTACTTGGCACCATGTATGTAAGGGCATAAAGCAAGACAGAGTGAGAAAAGCTACAGATGGAGAAGTTGGCAGGAGTGGAGAATAAAAATTGACCGACTCATGGCAGATTATGAAGTGTGACATTCTTATTGGGCCATTTTGTCTTCAAGATAAGGATTAAAACCTTACTACAACTGTTTATATTGTTCTATGCATCATATGAGGTTTATATTAATCAAGAGATGTTGTCTGGCTCAGTGGAAGAGCATCTGGTTGGCATGCAGAAGGTCCCAGGTTCAAGCCCTGGCATCTCCAGTTAAATGGATCTGGTAGATAATGTGAAAGACTTCTGCCTGAGACTTTGAAGGGCTCTTGCCGGTCTGGGTAGACAGTACTGACCTTGATGGACCAGAGGTCTGATTCGGTATAAGGCAATTTCAAGACGTCGTGTGGTTTTACTGACAATTATTTTTGTTATGACCTATGACTTTAATCAAATAATGAATTCAGTCCCTATTGTAGAAATTTGTTCAGCAGTTTCTTCTAAAGATTTTGTACCTAAGTGTTAAATTTATGTTGAATCTTGCATTTGTTTCTCTTGAGTTGTAATGTTAAATTTTAAAGCTCCTGTGTTTAAATCAGCTCCCCTCATTGGGTTGGATTCTGTCAAGTGCCAGTAGAAGGCAATTGTTTGTTGACACAGTTATTTCCTGCTTCTGCTTTCCCTTAAAACTCCAGAGACCTCCCAAAAGCTGATACTGAAAGTAATGGTACTTATATGGGGGGGGGGGAAGTATGTGGCCTATAGAAACGTCAGGTGAACGTGCCCCACTGGGCACCAGTGAAACTTCTTTCCAGTAGAAGCACACTGCTGGCAGAAAAGGAAAATGCTAGTGGTTTTCATCAGTTACTACTCTTCATTGCAGCCTCCTGAGTTGCTTGGATTTTGGTGGGGTCCCATAACTTTCAGCATCAGCTTTTTTGAGGTCTCAGTGAATGTGGGGGGAGAGTAAGAAAGATCTGTGAGTGTCCTTGCACTCATACTATGTTGGACCATTCTGTTATGACTGTAGCAGGAAGAACTATTTATAATATTCTTTTTTTGCAGTTTCAGACCGCCGTGGTTCAGGCAAACCCCGACCAAAGAGCGAAGGATTTGAGCTGTATAACAATTCTGCTCAGAATGGATCACCTGAGAGCCCTCAGCTGCCTTGGACAGAATATAATGAACCAAAGAAGTTGCCAGGAGATGACAGACTAATGAAGAATCGAGCAGATCACCGATCCAGTCCCAATGTAGCAAGTAAGCAAGACATTATTGGTGCTTAAAATGGTAGAAAATAACTGCTTGCTGTTTAAAGACTGAGCTAAAAATTCTTAAATGACTATTCAGGGGAATGCTAATCTGCAACATTTGATAGAATAGTTGATTAGCTCTGAAATAATAACTACAACAGCAAAAAGTGGAAAATACGAATAAAGATAAACAACTCCTGTTGATTTCATCAATTGAAAGTTTTGTATTGTATAGATTAACAAAGTTCTCTTTAATAAAACCACTTTCTACCTGTCTCTTTTTCATCAGATCAACCTCCAAGTCCTGGGACCAAGAATGCATATGCAGCTGGGACAGCTAATAAGATAACATCAGTCTCTACTGGAAACCTTTGTACAGAGGTTAGAAATAGCAAGCCATGAATTCTACCTATGAATATTTAGAATATGTAAAGTATGTATGCATATGTATGTATAATACACGCATTTGTATAATATTTTTATATTTATACAGGAACAAATGCTACCACCCAGACCTGAAGCATATCCTATCCCTACACAAACTTATACCAGAGAATACTTCACGTTCCCAGCCTCCAAGTCCCAAGATAGAATGGGTCCTGCTCAAAGTCAATGGTCAAGTTATGAAGAGAAACCTCAAGTTCAAACAGAAAATAATCATTATATCAGCACTGCAATGCAGGTCAGAAATAATGTTAAGACTAAATTTTAAGTGATTTCGAGATTGTATTATGGAACTAGAATTATGACTGGTCTCTTGAATTTAATACTGGTAAAGCATCTCCAGTTTATACAGCTGCCGCACCTAGAAAATAAACGCTGACAGTTTCTAAGTTTAAAACTTAAACTCTGAATTTGAAACGTATATTTTATCTGAATTAACTTACAGAAACATCCACACAGTGGCACCTTATTTGAAAAATTAGCAGTACACACTTGAAGTTGACTTTAAAATACAATGCATGTAATGACAATCATAGAAGAGACATCTTAAAAATTTTTCCTAAAGAACTGATCCTTGAAATGTCTATAAGTGCAGCCTTCTACTAGAAAATTGCATTAACTATTATCAAACTATAAAATGCTTGTTTTAGCTGTGTTCACCATAAATGCCTAAGTCATTAGCAATCCGCTAGTAGCATTTTCACAGTGCATCTGACACAAGTTGCTTTGTGTTTGGTGCTTCTGGACTAATAGAGCGTAAGAAATGCTTTCACTCCAGACAAGGCATTCTTTTTAGGTCATGCTTAAGGTCATTGATAGAGAATGCCAGAATAAGCTGTCTTTGTTCGCAGTCACCAATTACATTTCTTTTGCATACTGTCAGTTTTGCATCTATAATAAATCTGGGAAGGAACATAAGGAAGCTTCAGTTAAAATTCAGGTCTCTACAGAATTATATTAGCACTTGTGAGGTACATGATGCCTTAATAAATGGAAATACTGGTGCTTTACTGATCTTCACAGTTGTTCTAACAAATGAATAAAAGCACAGCATACCTGTGAAGAGTGCACATTTTACAAGGGATTTGGTAATCAGATGCTTTCTTACATAATTTCCATTATTGCAGGAAGAAAGAAAACCAATAAGAGAGGGGAATACAACAGGGTGAACAGATGGTTTCACTTCATCAGTAGTCCTTATGTTTAATTGTGATTAGAAAAGAAGCTTGCCACAGCTGTTAGAATGTGTTTTGATTACTCCATTTTGGTGCTAGCTCCATTTGTTTCTGGGAGATTTCTGTGCTGCTAGTGGTTTGGTCTACATAGTCCTAAGAAGTCATGTGAGAATGGGTGTATGGCATGAACTGTGTTTCTGTTTATCCTCCCTCCAGAGTAGTTTCGTAATCCTGTCTTGCAGCTTTCAGTTACTTTAGCTTGCATAACTTGTTTGGAATGAGAGACTGCAGGGCTTCGAATTGTTGTAGTATGCTGCCTATGAAGCAGTTGGTTTTAAAGAAGAGAGTAAACATTGCATCATCTTGGTAGAACTTTAGAATGGATCATTCAGTAGTTTTTACTGTATATGAATGTTAAATTATGAAAACTAACTGTATGTTATTTTTTCCTTCAAGCGTGTAACTCGTTCTCAGGAAGAGCTGCGGGATGATAAAGTTTATCAGCCAGAAAGGAATCGATTAGAGGTCATAATACGAAAAGATGTGGAATATATTGATAGGAAATCTGATAGTGACCCATGGATGAACTCTTCTGTGGATTCTAGTACATCAAGCCAGGAGCATCTGAACCATTCCTCTAAATCCCTCCCCCTTGGATCTTGTTTAACCAAAAGTGGACCTGGTCGCTGGAAAACCCCCGTTACCTCTCAACCAATATCATTGGCAGCTTCTCAGTCTACAAGAACAGACCTTCCTCCTCCTCCCCCTCCTCCCCCAGTGCACTATGCAGCTGACTTTGATGGACTGCAGATGGATTTGCCTTTGCCACCACCTCCACTTTCTTCAAGCCAATTAGGGCCACAGTCATCATCTCAGGTTGCTGCTGCAGAGCGAAAAAAGAGAGAGGAGCATCA